AGCGATGTATCGCCACCCGGGTCTAAGTCAAATCAAAATCCCGAAAATCAAAATTCCGAAAATCAAAATCCCGAATCTTAAATGTCGCGCCGCGTGATGTCGGGGTTCAATATTCAAGCCCTGCCTATGATTAGTAATATAGATTACCTATAGATTACTAATCACAGTCGGGGTTTGAATATTGAAACCCCGACATCACGTGGCGCGACAATAAGTCTCAGGAGGGTAGCGATACATCGCTATGGCGATAAAAAATAAAATCCTTCTAAGGGCTAATTAAAAGGATTTATTTTAAATTTTGAATCATTACATTACATTGCAGGTGGTTTATTTGTGTACTAACTCTGAAGCAATCAGATGTTGAACGTGGTATAAAATATTATAGACAAAACTTATTGGCATCTGGTATTCAATCCGAAGTGGAAATCGTACCAAGTTTTGAAGTTGATGACCCGGTAGTGGTTGAATGGCGTGCTTTGACGGTTATTTTATTAGATAAGATTGCGGAGGAAGTAAGAAATACGCTCGGATTATCAAAAGAACAACTTTCCTTGGCTCAGGTTCTTGAAGCTGGAACTTGGAAGATATGCTTTAAGATTATAATTATGAATGAATTCGATAGGTTTAGATTTTTATTTTATTTTTATTTTAATAAACTATAGGCTGGTCGTGAAATCGCAGCCTCTTTGCGCCCGCCCTATCACTCGTGGACCACCAATCGCTATTAAATCTGATGGAACAGTTTTTTAATTACTAAATCCAATCACATTAAGTTCGATGGATCAGTTTTTTAAACAATTTTTAATTAATGAACCTATTTATAACGGTTTGTTTTTTGTAGAATAATTCATTAACTAGACAATGCTTATTTATAGCCGTTAATCTATATTACTAAAAGACGTGTCAGTCTGTCTGTCAACATTTAGCCTTTTGATTGGCTACTTATCAGACACATGACCTATTAATGTTACACGAATATGCACGCACAGGTTTAAATGCATTCATATTTTACCTACCATCCATTAGAAATACATCGACTTTTGTGAGTTACTAATGTCAATTTGCACCATAATTTGGAACTTTTAAAGGTGTTACTACTGTATCATTTATTCTTCGAAAGATATTAATCCAAGATTACATAAGTAATTCTCTTTTTAATCAATTAAAGCGTATAAATTTTATCAATTAAATTTTAACTTCTATTAAAACAGCCTTCAGATATAGAATGATAATTGGATTTTCTAGAAATTTACAGTTTATTTGATTGTGAAAATTGAAATCTGATATTGAGCCATTTTGATCTAAAATCATGAGAAAATATCAATATAAATGCACAATATTGATATGTTATCCGGCATTTATATGATCATGTGAATTTTTTTTGCCTTGATATTTTTTGCATGATATTACGTAATCATTTATG